TATATATATTTTTTAAAAACTAAAAAACAAAAATAAAATTCCGCACACTACCAATACTTGCAGTTTTTTTCATAGTTTTATTGGTTGTCAATACAACTGCTTTTGCACTTTTGCAAGTATTGGTAGTGTGCGGAATTTTATTTATTTATTTTATTTTTTTTTGACTTTTTTCTTTTTATCCTACACACCTGTTTATTATCTTCAGGTGTGCAATGATTGATTGCTAATTGAAAATATATTTTAAAAATACAGTATACATATATATATTTTTAAAAGCTTTTCAAAATAAATTTCGCCCTCCATATATTTCTGCGCAAGAAAATACATTAATACATCACATTTGTTTTGATTTGAAAAACTTTATTTGTTGTCTATAACACGTATGAACATATTGAACATAACCATTATTAATCTAGCTAATTCCATCTACATTTGCTGTTAATGTAGGCTACTGTAAGATTGTACATTTATTTTTTTGCTCCTGAAATACATTTTGAAATATATTTTGGTATATGCATGCATTTCATACATTTCAAAAATATATTTCATTGAGCTTCACATGGTGCTTGCACACATCAAGACTTATTTATGAAATGAATTTCAGTGTAAATCCTTCTTAAAAACCATTGGGATTCATCGTTGTAAATTGTTCATAAAACTATTCTTACCTTAATGCATCCGTTTAATCAAGAACTAACGTATGAATGATCTTTATCAGATGGCACCCAATCAGAGCAGTTTGTTTAGCTGTAGATTCGCTCTAGAGCTGTTTTTAATTGGACTGTATTGTGGAATGAGGGAAAGGCCTGTCTTTAAGCTGATGAAAGCATGCTCATGGAGCTGTGTGTGGTTGGCCACATGTCATGATTAGCTCTGTTTCACTCGTGTTTAACACTGTGGGATTTTCCAGCGAGCTCCTGAGCGTCTGATTATAGTCCACCTGCTAAAGTTCATTTGCATTTCAGCTCTCTGCTAGTCATCAGCTTAAGAGGGTCTTGTGTTCGCATTATTGCTCATCAGGAGTTTTTTGTGTCTTTGATGACTGTATAGAATGGGGTTTGACATTAAAGCCCATCAGCAATTTTAGACACTTTTGTACCACTTTAAATTTGTCAAGTTGCTTCTTAAATCACATTTAGTCATTTAGCAGACGCTTTTATCCAAAGCCACTTACAAATGCAAGCAATCGAAATAATATGTAAGTGCTGTGACATTTTTATAATAAATAAAAAGCAAACAAGTAGACAGAATAGAAAAAGAACAGAGAACACTAGTGTTAGAGGGTCAAGTGTTTCATTTAAAATAATTATTAATCAAATTAAAAACTGCCAGTACTGTTATCAAAATCATATCGGGCACAAATGCAATCAAACAATTATGATTCACTATTTAAATTAAATTAAATGCATTGCATTTATACCTAATGATTGTTGTCGGTGTGCTTCGTTTTATTTATGCTGAATTTGGTTACACTTTATTTTAAGGTGTCCTTGTTACAGTGTAATTATACATTTAAGTAGTGAGTGATATTAATTAACTACATGTGCTTACTATATGGTTACTTGCATGTAATTATGCATAATTTGTTGTTACTATAATAGTAAGTACAAGTAACATGTGTAACAAGGACACCTTAAAATAAAGTGTTACCCTGAATTTATACTAAATGCAAACATTTATTATCATAGCAAAAACGTAATGAGAAATATTGATATACATAATTGCAAAAAGTGAGAATTTGCATTAAAATTCAGGCAGAAAATGTGCTTATTTTTCATAAAAAAAAAAAATGTCAGTGATGCAAAATGAGAAAAAAATCCCAATGATCTGAAAAAAAAAACTTAATTTCCTTCATGCATGGTGTTTTCTCTTCTTCTGATAATTGTAATTTGGGGTGAACGTTTTTGTGAGTTTCACCCCCTAACTAAAATGCAATTGTTAATTATTCTGTGTATTGTTTCTCTGGCTGCAGAACTGCAGGGCTTCATTCACCACGGCCGTCCCATGCCGCGCTCTCAGGTGGTGCTGTGTTTCGGAGACGAGTTTCCAGACCCTCAAAGACAGAGCAAAATGATCACAGCTCAGGTAAAATCAGCCTCTCCGCAGCTTGACACACCATTTATATCATTATAACGTTAATGTGCACTCAGTAAATGCATATTTCTGTGCTCAGATGCAATAATCCATTAGTTAGAATTCACCAACAGCGTTTTGAAATGTCAGGGAAATGTGAGTTAAACGACAGCGTGTCTGCTTTCGCAGGTGGAGCCCATGTTTGCCCGACAGCTCCTGTATTTTGCAGGCCAGACCAACGGGCACTACTTGCGCGGATATGAGCTTCAGAGTCAAGGTGCTTTACCTGTAGAAGAGTATCAGAGAAGCATCCAGCACTTGCAGGAGTAACAAGCTTCAGCTAAGATACTGCAAAGCCCAGCCGCTCGCACTGTATCTGCTCTACAGCCAGCGGAGGCTAGTGAAAGCCAATGGAGCATCATTGACATTGTAATGAAGACTTGAAATCGCATTGTGATTACCTGACCAAGTGCCCACTTACACTTCCTAAAAGCTACAAACTCTTCGGACACCATACAGTATTGGATGCAGTCTTTTTGTATGAAAAGCGTTCATGAATTATGTCTCAGTGAGTCTGAGAACACATGGAAAAATGTTGGTTTGTTTCATGTCAGCTCCTTTTCTGCTGCAAACACAAGCAAAACACAAACCACGTGCTAAAACAGTGTCAAGTTCATTTCAATTCAACGTTTCACTCACGTTGTGCTGATAATGTGTAGTGGCAAATTATGCAAAGCAGAAGTGTACTCAGATTTCTGGACTCCCAAATATTTCATATGGACATTTGAGAAAGAAGCTAACCAAAAACAAAACTACAATCGAGCTATTTTTCCCATAGGAATTGTTTGTTAGTGGGACACATATTTTTGATACGTCGATGTATAGTTGCATAGACTTTCTATTACTGGTCTATATTGCTCTGCTTTTCTAACACGATCCTCTTTTTTCTCATTGTTTTCGGCGCCGTGTGAGTATTTATATTGTATGCATGTAGGTTTCTATATGCACAGCCGAATGTACTGTATAGCTGTATAGATATCTTGAATGTAATCAAAGTAATTATTTCTCTGAATGGCATCTGACAAGAAGTTATATAATGCTAAATACTAAGAAACAGTTTGTGGTTGTGTGTGTGTGTGTGTGATTGTTATCTGCTTTCAAGTAAAGATCTATGTTGCAAATGTAATCATGACAAAATCTGCTTCTCCCCTTTGTGTGTGTGTGTGTGTGAGTGTGAGTGTGAGTGTGTGTGAGTGTAAGTGTGTGTGAGTGTGAGTGTGTGTGAGTGTGTGTGTGTGAGTGAGAGTGAGTGTGAGTGTGAGTGAGTGAGGGAGTGAGTGTATTTTCGTTGCTGAAATAGCTAAATAAAAATTAAATTGTGTCTAAAATGCAATTCACCTAATATTTGTTTGATTAACGTTTGCATAAAATCAATATCACGTTTTGCAATCCTGCTCATATTCATGAAAACAGCTCTTTTGCTCTTGTGATATTGCTTAATTTTATGTAATAGGAAAAACAAGACCTCAAGTACTTTTTTTGCAATCATATCTTGAATTATTATTATTATTATTATATATATATTTTTTGGTCATTCATATTAATTTTGGTGAAATTTTTGAAAATTCCCCATTAAATTCTGCGCAATTTGGGCACATCGGTATCAAAATACATCAAATTAGAAATAAGTTATTGATTGCATTTAAAGCAGGAAGTTTTACATCATCACATTAATGATGTTAACAAATAATTCAGACAGTGCACTGGCAATATAGTGACATCCCTGCATTTGTGGTCTTGAAATAAAATCCCGAGCCCTTTTAGTCTGAGATCAAGACAAGACCGAGGTCGAGGCTGAGACAAGACCAAGACCTTCAAAAAATGGTCTTAAGACCGGTCTCAAGTATGACAACTGTCCATATTGACATTAAGCAGGCAGTGGAGTGCTAGCTTAAGCTAATTAATCAGTTTGAGATCAAATTAATGTCAGATTACTGCTGTAAATAACAGACATGGCATCTGAGGACTGCGTCGCCATTTATGTTTTCCGTTATTTCGCAGGTTTCCTTACATCAGAATGAAATTTGTATATGTATGGAATGAAAGATTTAGATTGCAATACATGATATCTTGCTTATTTTTGCTCAAGTGCATGATCCATTTAAGTCCACAAGTCATACTAACAAGAAACGATGCTTCTCACCACACACGTTTGCAATGCTGTTTGCAGTTGTTTAATGGAACTGTGGATTAAAAAAACACTGAATCGTTTAACTATGTTGGTGACAATAAACCTTGGGACCACAACTGGCTAAAGATGCTTTTGGGAAACGCACCCATGAACAATGTTTTGATAGCGCCATGCTAGTGTGACCTGCTTAAATTTCATGAACGACATTAATTTCTTGACACAAAATGCTGCATTTCAAAACGCTTGCATAATTACACTCAAATATACGCAGAGACAAAACCAGTTTTTAAAAAACAGATTTTTTTTCTACTGAAATGTATAGCCATCATCCTTTGCGCACAAAATTAACACGTACGTCTGAAAGATGTCTGTTAAAGATCGCTTGATCTGGAAAGCATCTGCTGTGTTCAAACATCTGATAGACGTCTGTAAGATGTCAGTTTTACATACATTCTAAATCATAAACATCTTAAAGACATTTAATAAACGTCTATTTGACATCTGATAGGAAACGTCCTATAGACGTATTGCAGATGAGCAAACACTCTAAAAATACGTCTTGCAGACGTCTCCGTGAAGTATGTGTGCTATCAGGGAAGTACATTGCATTTCATGGACATATTGGTGACTGTTTCATTTTTGCGTATAACAGAAAACATCTTTCGTGGACAAAATCCTCCCAGCATTTCACAAAATGCATTTTGTGTACAAAATAATAATTCAGTCAATGAATTTTAATATTTCACCCACAAAAGGGAATCGTGAATGTATTTTTTTGCATTTTGCATTAGTGTTTGCATAAAATGATGTTTCAGTAGACAAAATGCAACTGGCTTATGTCTTTCCTGCGTACATGCATTAAATGCATGAACGCATAACAGCCGAAATTAATTTTCGTCCACAAAATTTGTCAGGTCACACTTGGCGAAACCATATAGTGTGTATGGTTGTGTTTTGATATTGCAGGCGTGTATGCGTGTTGTGCTGCTGTCTAGCTGGCTTTTAGTTACGCTTGAGCGAGAGATCTGCACCTTCCTGTTGCAGTCATTAACATCATTTGCTAAAGCTTTCAATTGTTTTTTTTTGTATTTTTTTATGATATGAGCCGTGTACTGTATACAAATGTCTACCCATTCACATTTAAAATATAGAATTGCTGTGTTAAAGTGAACATGAAACCGGTTCAGTTTACTTTCTTACTATACACTCATGACTTCAATGTTGAATTATCGACACAGTCTCACCACAGTTCGTAATGAATTCAGCTGTCTGGGTAGGTTTAGGGATGGACTATAAAAAGGAATCTGTAAAAATAGGGCACAATCTACTGTGTTAAAATGAAGGGATTTTTTTTGTATTGATTTTTTGTAGTTATTTTGCACTTAACTGTATTTACAGTTAATGGGAATGTTCATAAAATTAATGGATAATGTACTGGCAGAAAACATTTTCACCTTTTTTGTTTGTTTGTTTTTCATACTTACATTTTTCATACAAATTTTACATTTTCATACAAATAATATCTTATGAAATTATACAGAATTGCGTAAAAAATTATGTTTTCCTGGATGGAAGACACACGCACACACACACACACACCCACACACACACACACACACACACACACACACACACAAAGTGAACGTGAACACACACACACACACACACACAGACAGTAGTGAACACACACACACACACACACACAGAAGTGAACACACACACACACAGACACACACACACACACACACACACACACACACAGACACACACACAGTCTTCATAATCTTTTACCCAATTGTAATAATTTGTTTGCCTCTTAAACAGTTTCCTTTTTATTTATCAACCAAATAGAGACTTTCCTTTCTTTCAACCAAATTATTTCAACCAAACACAGACTTTCTTTCTTTCTTTCTTTCTTTCCTTCTTTCTTTCTTTCTTTCTTTCTTTCTTTCTTTCTTTCTCAAATCCAACCAGTTCTTTATGGATAAACCGTGAGTGTAATTTAGAGAGGTCTTGAATTTGAACGTCCTGAATCTTCTATCTGAGCTATGTCTGGGAGGTATAAATGTCACTGGTTGAGAGGATGTTAAAGGGCAGAGGGGGAATCCTTGTTTTATCTGCATCTTTCTCTCTGTCAGGCTTGACTGAGCTGAATAGTTCCACTAGAGACGGCACTCGTCTGCATCATCAGCCCACACACTGAACTGAAGCCCACATCTGCAGCCCGTATTAGCAAATAATCCAGACAAAGCATTTCACAGAAACTTTCTCAGCGCCACAAAATATTATTCCTCCGACTGTTGGCTCTTTCTCAGAAGAAAGTCTTCAAAAATGAGATACAAGTATCTAGAAGTGAAGGGGTTGATTTTAAGGCTGCACTACCTTGAGAAGGTCAAAAATGGCATAACGTTAAATATCAGGGATTAACCCTATCATAGCTGTTGCTGATTTTGTTCCTGACAAATTCTCACCAATTACATAATTCACATGGGACGTCCCCAAATACTGTAAAGATACACGCAGGCGTTCTTGATGGTACGTGTTCTTATACTCTCCTGATGTTTAACATTTGCATGCATGTCGATCCCAAGAGTCAAAAATGCAAATGAGAGGCTAAATAGATTGGTTTTTCTAATTCAATTTCTGTCAAGGTTGTAACAGCTATGGCTTATTTTATGCAACAACTCACAATCCTAAAAAGTCTTAAATTCTTCACTTTCAAAAGTTAAATGTTCAAGTTTTATTTTGGCAGAGACCTTTCTGTCTGTGTTTAGTATAAAAGCAAATTTGCAAAAAGAAACATTGAAGCATGTCTCAAAATTTCTTTTATGCTCCTCAGAAGAAAGTAAAAGACTAGGATTGTCGTTTTTGCTTGAACTGTTTCTTTGAGGTCATAACCCAGTATTTTGCAAGGAACTGCCTGTAAATAAGTCTTTATTATTTAGCCTATTTGAGCTGGAAACTGTATGAAGAGGCATGTTTTTGGAGTTTTGCAAAAATAAAATTTTTCCAATTTGCCTATGTTGCCTAAATATGGATTTCCTCACAAGGGTTTAGTAACATAGCTGAGCAAAATATTGGTTTCCAAATGATGCTTTGTCCCCAGATGTGTAGATGTGCATCATGTCATAAGAGATTATGACTGCTAGCGTCTCAATGTCAACCGATTTGAACAAATAATACTTTTATTTTAAGGAACAACTTTAGTGCGATCTGTAATACTCAGTAACGGTAAAGCATGTAAATGTGAAACTACAAATCCGTGTTTGTGCTGGTGAACCTGATTTACCAGGTGTTTCACATCCACTTTCCCACAACCTCTTTCTGCGTCTCCATAGAGACTCAGTGCACCACAAACCTTCTTCCATTGGATGCACTGTTGACTCTTGCCATGTTAAATGCAGCTTGTAAAAGGTTAAGATGAGATCCTGCATCATTTCCTCAGAACAATACCTGTGCAATGAGAGATACTGCCAGTTCAACATCACAGAAGTTCAGAGCTACTGATCAACATCCACAGTTAAAGTTATAAATGTTGTCAACAGACTAAATGTAACCCAAAAAGACAGGACAGCAAGGGTTTTAAATATGAACACATCATATTTCACCCCCAAAACAAGTTCATTTGAAGTTAAAGTTAAAATTGATTTGTGCCAAGTAAATGAAAACGTTTTAAGGACCATTCGTAGTTTTTGTGTTGTGAAATGACAAATCTGAATAGTTCCATTCAATGACATGCACCACATTTGGTCTCTCTGAATGAATCCAATCTGATTTTAGATTCTGAAAGTTCTCTTATATGAATCCTAAATGTTGCAATCTGAAGTCGGATGAAAATAAACACATGCACATAAACTTATGTAAACTTGTGCATCAAAGCAAGCTATTTTTGACGCCGACTGAGAAAAGTCACATTCAAGCGAATGCATTCTTAATTTATTCCCATTGATCAAAATTTCATTTATATTGAGCTCAGATGGATTGACTGAAGTGTTTACATGAAGGTTTTTCAGTCTGATGGAGCCATCAATCTGGTTATTTGGGTACATGTAAGTGTAGCTAGTACTTACTGTGCGT